ACCTCAGTAATTCAATTACAATGATAGACCGTCGTAATACATTTACATCAAGTACAATACGTCAAAATGGCCGACACGATAAACGTGACGGGAGAATTTCCGAAGTTGTTAATCAACCTGTGGCTATTTCAAGCCTTTGTCATCACTGATCAATTGGCCGATCGTTGAAGGTGATTGTAAAGATGTGTCAAATAGATACTAAGGTAAATTCATAGATTTCTGTAGATTGTCACTACGATAGTTTGGATGTTTTTTTCGTTTGTTTTTTCTCTGGGATGGGTTGTAGCGAGGGTATCTTTAAACGGGCATGCAACCACGTTTCTGTATGAATTCGTACCACGGAATTTTAAGGGTTTTCCCCAGGAATGTGGAAGTAGTCAGTGTTTACGCCATTTCAAGAATACAGTCACGTGAAGAACGTCATGTGACCGACCTCTCGTCCTAGCCGTATATCTTGTAAACTTCACATTAAAAAATTAGTTATTATTATAACCAAATGAAACACAACCCATTATCCGATAGGGGTAACTGTTCATAGCCGAGGGATATGTCACCACAATAAACTTGGTAACATTGTTTGGTTTGACTTCTTGGCGCGTGTCTGAATTCCATTAACATGTTACATATCCTAAAACTGGCTTATCAGCAAATCTCGCTGCACTGCGCGCGACAGATACTAGAGCAAGGCATGCCAGAAATACGAAACCTAAAGCTTTCGAAAGGAAACCTTAGGAATCACGTGCGTCGGGGGACCAGCGCCATCTGATTGGCCGTTAACAGTTGTACAAGGAGGAGCAAAAAGCTTCGTTTTTCCGTCCATTTTACGCTTGAAAAACTCGACCCTTTTTTGGACACTTTCTAGACGCTCAGCAATTAATCAATTTTAATGAATTTTTAGTCGTTTTCCGTCCAATGACCATATACGGAAAAAAGGACGTTTTCGTGTTTGCAGTGTTATTTTCAGAATTAACTGACCATACAGAGTATTAAAGACATGTAGAATTATGTTTGTCTCAAGTATATTCTTTAAACCAAAGATTTATTATTTACCATGTTTACTGAAAAAAACCCCACTTCTTTAATAATGCAATAAGGCTAACCGTTAGTAGTACCATCGTATAGAGAGAAATCATTGAAATCATTGTCTGTTGTGCTACAAAGTAAAGAGAAACCCAAATTTAAGGGTGATGAAGAAATGACCAACAAGAGATCATCTTATAACATTTCACCATAAACCTCATTTTTTAACATTAGCAATGTCTAATTTTAATTTTAATACCTATTACAAAAAAATCATATATGAACAGGTCGCTAAAATATATATTTATTATGAGTCTTGTTTTTATGAAGATAAAAAGAAGAACGTGTTGATTTTAAATTACCTATTATAAGGAAGTCTTAATTTTTAATCTGATAAATAAGAAAAGAATAAAGTTTGGAGGTAGGAGGTAACTGTTGCAGAACAATAATACTGTAACATTACAAGGGTATTAAAATGCAAATATTTGAAATGATAACTGATTACATTTATGCTATGTATATGTGTCACAAACAATAAAGTAACTCACTTAGTAACATTTTTGTTTATTTTTTTTATAAAATAAAAACAGATGTGCTCACTGTACTGTTATCATACTGCATTATGCCACTAGCGGCTGTGATGGTGTATAACATATTAGAGTAATCTCCCTTGACGACCTAGCCGTCGGGACCCCCCTTTTTACCGGATGTACCACCTGTGTATGTATGGCAATAAATACAAGACGGCACACAGAATGTCGTTCTCCATTATTTATTCGTCGGAGGCAGCAACAGCCTAGGGCTAGTTCAAGTTCTACAAATCATTCCTAAAGCGTGAGAATATTACATGGTGTCAGAGTCATGGATCTTTCCGGAATCCCCACCGAATCTATGGACTAGGAAGCATCAAACCTGCCTGATGCGTGGCGGCGTTTTAAACAGCACGTGTAATTGATATTCCACGGACCGTTGGCTGTAAAGTCGGAAGAATCGAAGTGCTCGTACCTCCTACTTTGGGTGGGCATTTCTGTTGATGACAAAAAGTTACTTCAAACTTACTACACCTGCTACGCAGCATACGTCCAGCCACAGTTGAATCCTGTTTTCGCAAGGTACAAATTCAATAACGAAGTTCAGGGGTCATCTCACTTTGATCAGTTTGTGACTAGATTAAAGCTGCTAGGTACAGATTGTGCATTTAATACATCTGATGAAATGGTGAGGGACCGACCGCATAGTGTTCGGCACATCATCTACTAAACTTCGTGCTGAATTGATAAATGAAGGGGATAAATTGACACTCGAGAAAGCAATTCAAATGGGACAATTGTGGAAAGTGAAATCATTTCAAGATTGTGTGTCGCTCAGCAAAAGTCAATGAGGTTGTGACAGATGCACACATTGATTCAGGGGACTCAGACATTCTCATCGACTTAATTGATAGCGTGGATATGTCTAGTGATGTCGACAGTGTCCACTCCAAAGCTGAGGATACTAACCAGGCTTTTGTTACTGTGAAGGTAGGAATTAAGGGCATACCAGTGGAATTCAAATACAGAAACAGGGTTTCAGGTAAATATCATACCAGCTGGATTATTCCCCTAAATTGGCACTACAACTGTACTCAGTAAACCGCCAAAACAGTTGATGGTTACACACAACCAAATGTTTTCCCATAGACTTCTATAGTAACGTTATATTTTAAAAAAAAATTAACTAAGCATTCAACAGCTATTACCTGTACGTGTGTGCACAGTTTGGCCTTAGAGCAGCAGTAAAGAAATAAAAAATGACTAGCTTAGCCAGCTCCTTTTCCGAGTACCGGAAGCTAAACACACCACCCCCAGTTTCGCACCAAATGTCACCTACTTGAAAATAGCTGTGGTCACATTCAGCATAAGTCATCATGTTGAAAAAGACAGTACTAAATATAGAAAAACATGGTCAGCTTTACTAACTGGATGGATGTACATTTGAAAGACATACAAATCTTACAGAATATCCTCAAATCACAGCCTGCAGATATCTCTCGATCAGCACTGAAGGCTCCCTACGAAAACCGCACTGTCAAAACTGGTACTGATTTGGTGTAGTAGAACCTGTAGGCATATGGCGGTACACATCTTCAAACTCACGGTACATGTAGCTTGCCTTGTCAGATTGATGATCGTGAATTCACAGCTGAGTATTACGTTGTAGAGACGGAATCAAACCCTGTACTCAGTCTCAAAACATGCCTTGAATTGGAGCTTATCCAACTTACCTGTGCAGTTGATACTTGTGGGTCGAGTGAGAAATCTGGAAAACCACTTGAGAAGAGCACCATTCTTCCAGAATATGCCGATGTGTTTGAGGGCATTGGGCTCTTTTCAGGTGAATGTGCGATACCCATCGATCCGAGTGCTATCCCTGTAGTTCACCCACCAAGAAAAGATCCAGTCGCACTTCCTGAGAGACTCAAAGAAGAAACTGGATCGAATGGAAAAGTCAAACATTATCACAAAGGTTGATGAACCAACTGAATGGGTCAACTCTTTAGTAATCGTTGAAAAGCCACACTCAAAGAAACTGCGCATATGCCTGGATCAATTGGACCTGAAACGTGCTATACAGCGTCCACACTACCCAATGAAAACACTTGAAGACATCCTTCCAAGCCTCTGTCAGGCTCGTTATTTCACTAAACTCGATGCTCGATCTGGATATTGGGCCATCAGACTGGCTGAGGAATCTTCATTTCTTACAATGTTCAACACCCTGTATGGACGTTACAAATTTTTTAGACTACCCTTTGGGATACGTTCAGCACAAGATGAATTTCAGGGAAGGATTGACGAGTGCTATGAAGGACTAGATGGCGTTGCATCCATAGTTGATGACGTTCTGTTGTATGGATGTACTCCCGAGGAGCATAATCACAACCTGCGGAACATGCTTTCCCGGTCCCGTGACAAAGGTATTAAGCTTAACGAGGAGAAGCTTGAAGTTGGTGTCACAGAGATCCAATACTTTGGACACATCTTGAGTGCTGAAGGCCTCAGACCGGACCCAGCTAAGGTCTCTGCTATATGCTCAATGAATCCACCACGTGACCGCTCTGAATTGGAAACAATTCTTGGAATGGTGAATTATTTATCCAAGTTTGCTCCTAATCTGTCCGCGATCACCAGCCCTCTGCGACACCTCCTTCCGGATCATCCTCAGTCCACAGCGTTTCAGAGAATTTAGGATATCATCACACAGACACCTGGGTAAGTTCTTGCCTACTATGACCCAGACAAGGATCTAACACTCCAAGTTGATGCATCCAAGTATGGTCTTGGTGCTGCTGTCTTACAGGATGGGAAGCCTGTCACTTATGAATCTAAGTCATTGACCACCGCAGAGGTCAATTATGCACAGATCGAAAAAGGAAATTTGCTATCCTATTCGGCTGTAAGCGTTTCCACCAGTATGTTTATGGTCGGCATGTGAAAGTCGAGTCCGATCATAAACCTCTCATCTCTATCATGAACAAGCCTCTTGCTGTCGCCCATGCTCGGTTACAGCGTATGAGTGAGTGAGTGAGTGAGTGAGTTTGGTTTAACGCCGCTTTTAACACTATTCCAGTTATATCACGGCGTGTCAGCTTAATGTGGGCGGGAAAGCCCGAAGTGATGCAGGTCTCAGACGTTTACCACTTCGGTGAAACCCACGAGCACGGGTATGGTGCTGACAAACCTAGAAACATAATCGGGGCGAACCGGGATTCGAACCCACAATCATAGCTTTCTGGCGTGCCCAAGGGACGCAACTCTGCACAGCGAGTCGCTGCGCCTTAGACGACTGGGCCACCCGTGCCCCGTGTTTAAAGTAGATTTTGACCGCCCGGGCCAAGTCGGACCCAACACAAGCCAAACACTTCTGATAGAGACTATGTTGAAAATGAAGAGGAAAAAGGGCTTTGATGACTGGGCCACCCGTGCCCCCTACAGCGTATGATGTTGCAGCTACAAAAGTATGACATTACAGTTGAACACAGCCCTGGGAAGGAAATAGTTGTAGCTGATACCTACCCGCACCTTTCAGAAGGTATGGACGCACATGCCCATGTGATAGTATCAAATGTTCCTGTCAGTGACAAGAAGATGGAGGATATTAGACGAGCCACAGAAGCTGACCCTCAGTTCTCCTTGCTCCAACAAACTATCATAGATGGTTGGCCTGAACATAGGAAGCTATGTCCAGGGACGATACTTGAATTCTGGAACTTCACGGACCAACTTGCTTTCATGGACGGTCTCATATTCAAGGGTCAGAAAATTGTCATACCCAAATCACTGAGGACAAGTTTGCTTGACAAAATTCACACTGGACACATGGGAGTTGAAAAGAGTCTCCGACGTGCTCGTGACATTTTGTTTTGGCCTAAGATGTCAAATGATATCACAAGTCTTGTACTCAACTGTTCTGTGTGCCTAGAGAGAAGAAACTCTAACCCCAGGGAACCCCTAATATCACATGACATTCCCAGTCGTCCTTGGCAGACTGTGGCCACATACCTCTTCTTATGGGACACCCATGATTTTGTGGTCGTTGTCGACTATTATAGTAGGTACTTTGAAGTTTGCAAATTACCCAGCATCAAAAGCACCACTGTCATCAATGCTCTCAAAGATGTATTTGCGAGACATGGGATACCGGATAAGGTGATATCTGACAATGGCCCCCAGTACTCCTCACAAGACTTTGCTCAGTTTGCAGAAAAATGGGACTTTGTACATGAGACATCAAGCCCCCATTTCCCCCAGTCAAATGGTCTTGCCGAGAAAACTGTCCAAACCATCAAGCGCATTTTTTTCAAAGGCAAAAACAGATGGCAGAGATCCACACATTGATATTCTAGAATACCGTACTACCCCAATGGAGGCAAATCTATCACCCTCTCAGCTACTCATGGGTCGAAGATTACGGTCCACCTTACCTTGTACCCAACATCAACTATTGCCTGGATCTGTTGATCATTCTCAGTACCAGAAGGTACTACAAGCAGGTCGGAGGAAACAAAAGCACTACTACGAAACTGCTGCCAAGCCCCTGTTGCCCCTTAAAACAGGAGAAGCAATTCGTGTACGACAACACAATAACTTGTGGACACCTGCAGTTGTCACAAAGCAGCACAATTCCAGGTCTTACACCGTTCACACCGGCGATGGAGCGGGATGTCGTCGCAACCGACGTCACCTACTAAAGACACGTGAAAAGCATGACTTACCTGAAATGAACATAGATGTCACAAGTAGTGAGTTACCACGTGTTCCACAGACTGACAGAGCCGTTACCTGTACTCGTGATACAGCTGAGGTCAAACCCTCTGATGACCCTGTAACATCACCGATCCCATCACGAACACACAGTCCCCAGAAAGTTATTGACAATGACATTAATCAATATATCACTCGTTCGGGTCGGGTTATCAAACCCAAGGTTATTGACTCAGTGAAGTTTTTACCAGTTTTAGCTCAAGATGATTGTAAGACTATACAACAGTCAATTTTGTGTCAGTGTCATTCTGATGGTCAGACAAGAATTGACAACCTTTGTGTTATTAGTTGTAATTCAAGTTTGCAGTGTTAAGCATCAATGAAGTGATTGAATATGATCAATATCATGTGTCTACTCTTTGTAGTCGTTTTCTGTGCTCTGTTCACTCACTGTCTCTGTGTCCAACTTTTTTTTATAAGAAAAGGGATGTACTGTTATCATACTGCATTATGCCACTAGCGGCTGTGATGGTGTATAACATATTAGAGTAATCTCCCTTGGCGACCTAGCCGTCGGGACCCCCTTTTTTACTTGATGTACCACCTGTGTATGTATGGCAATAAATACAAGACGGAACACAGAATGTCGTTCTCCATTATTTATTCGTCGGAGGCAGCAACAGCCTAGGGCTAGTTCAAGTTCTACAAATCATTCCTAAAGCGTGACAATATTACACTCACCATGTTCAGGAATCAGAGGAACGTTATTCTATCTTGTGTTGTCCCGGTGAATCGTGAATGATTCCCATCTTATTTATGTATTGTTTAGAGACGCTCACTAAAATAAACCTTTTGCATTGAAATATTGTGTTATGGTGTCACGATCACAAACTGATATGAATATTTCAGCACTGTATTTTAGAACCTAGAAGTAGGCAGGCCCTAGCAGACAAACAAGATGGTTGTGATGTGCTAATTGCACGAGCGCGCACGTGCATCCTTCCCGTTTATCAACGAGCGTCTCGGACGGCCCGGCCTTTTCAACCATTATCAGGCCAAGAGGTTGGCAGCATGAAGGCTGGAGTACAGATTAAAAATCTGTCGTTGGATTGGTGGTTTATCCAGTTATTGGTGAGTACTAACTTGTACAGAAGAAAAGTGAGTGATGTATGTTAGGTCATTTTTAGTGTGTGGTTTGTAAATGTATTTAGTTCACACCCGTACATACATTATTCGATGTAGATGATGGTATGGCAGTATAGGAGTGTGTTGTTGGGCGCTCTGTAAGGCTACAGTATGTCCCGACCCCTGTGTGTCTGGAACAGGTAGCCGAGGAGCAGGCAATTGTTGCCATTGTGAGTAATGTGTATTGGGGACTTTGAGCTGGAGCTGGAGCTGGCGCCGGCGTTGGTTTGTTGTATTTTAAGATGTTTTGTGTTAATTTGTTCATTGTTTTCTCTTTCAGAAACGCCCATTTCCTGTGTATGCGGTAGTTACGTTCAGAGCTGGTATTTGCTTTGATCTGAGCTGCTCATGTGTTCAGGACTGAATCCCGTTGTTTTGGAGATATTGCTCCTGTTGTTCAGAATGAACATTGTGTTGTGCGTATCTACGTCTGTGTGACGTGGTGAGGAGGCCAGTATGCCTGGTTGTATTGATGTATGTTCATGTGTACTTTGTTAAGTTCTCTGTGCGCCCGAAAATAAGTTTGTGCTAATTCATAGACCGTCACAAGTTTAATGTTTGCCTGAAAGTAACTTCGGTGCTCTTCAATGAGAACGTTTTACTGCGAATGTTTTGATCACATTCTGTCTATTTTCTTGACTCGAGAGGACTTATTAGTAAAATGGAATAGACATGACATTCGTGATTCAGTTGTCTGTCAAACAAAACCTCATCATATTTTAACTCATATGGTTTCACAAACGATTCCAAACTTCGATTGAATTTACGTTAGATGTGGCTCTGCATGAAAACAAACATAATTTGCACAAAATGAAAATGGATCTCAACACCAGGAATTGCTTCTGCCAACTTTTCTCGAACACCTACCATCATCACTATTTGATAGTAATTCATATACACATGCTCATGCTTTAGTCGGTACAATCGACCGTTTTTGACAGATTTTTACGGAATATGGAAATGTTTTTGTTGCTTTTATTTTCTTCCATATGATCATTGAGGGACCTGAAAATTAAACATAGTTACATATCATGTACACTAAATAAATAATTGTAAAAGTTGGTGGTAATCGTCATCAGATGTGTAAGGCATGTCACTGGGTGCCTGAATACAAATTTCATCTACACTTTTACATGTCATCTACACTACACTTTTACATTAAAAGATAATCATGTTACAATATAGAATATAACAGATATACAAAATATATACATATAGACAACTTTTTCAACCAAAATTGCATAAATTTGAAGCACGGAGTATCGTAATAAGCAAGAAGTGAACATAATCTTGAATGAGACACAATCACATATATTTATACTCAACAACAACAAAGTTCCTGTGACACCAATATATTTGTGTATTTTTCAAACAAGTAAAGTTTGGTTTTCAATATTGTAGTGCATGTATGGAATCAAGTCAAAAAACGCAACTGCCACAGAAAAGCATACATCCCATGCAAAAGCTGACTTTTATGCAAGCCCCATGCATTTCACAACCCAAGAATGGGTATAAAAACGTGCGTAAACGGGATTCCATATGCATTGTTTAGCATCTGTATAGCATCTGTATATATATATCTGTTGAATTTGTCTGTCCGTTTAGAATCGTGCTGACAACAACCACTCAGGGAAACAACAAAATTACGCAATTATTCAACATTACGAACTGCCACGCCTGTCCGAAAATGAGCGTCTGCGAGCCATTGGTATGCTTGAAGCAGGATCGCGTCAACGTGATATTGCAAGACAAATCAACGTCCACAGAAACACCATTTGGTGTTTATGGCAACGTTGGCAACAGACGAATGCAGTCAGAGACCATCCTCGGAGTGGCAGGCCACGCGTAACCCATCATCGACAAGACAACTGGATTCGAACAACACACCTACGGAATCTATTCCAGCCAGCAACAGTGACTGCAAGAAGCATCCCTGGCCTTCGACGAATATCTTCACAAACCGTACGTCGTCGCCTCAGATGTGCAGGGATTGTCGCCAGAAGACCAGCCAGACGTCCCATTTGGACAGAAAACCACCATCAAGCACGTCTACAGTGGTGCAGACAGCGTCTACGCTGGACGGCCATGCAGTGGGGACAAGTTCTATTCACTGACGAGTCTCGTTTTCACCTCAGCCACAGCGATGGACGGATTCGAGTGTACCAACGTCGAGGTGAACGTTACGTCAATCATTGTGTCATGGAAGAAGATCGGTTCGGGTGGTGGCAGCGGTATGGTATGGGGTGGGATTACAGCAAGACAGAGGACCCCTTTGATAGTGTTAGAGGGAAATCTCAATGGACAGCGCTACCGCGACGAGAACATCGGCCCTGTTGTTCTACCGTTTTTGCGTTGTGCCGGTGAGCTAATAAAGCCAAAATACCCCTATCTGGCCCCGCTCCTCAGCCCCTTGGGGGTCAGCCCTTCCATTTGTACAATATTAAATCCTCACCACCGGAGATGCTTCCAAACAAATAAATTTGATATCTGTCTCAAGAGAAAAAGTCGTTTAAAGGGAAATAGCCAAATTACCCCTATTTGGCCCCGCCCCCCAGCCCCTTGGGGGGTCAGCCCCACCATTTGTACAATTTTGAATCCCCACCACGTAGGGATGTTGCCCACTAAATATAATTGATATCTCTCTCTTAGTTCCACTTCCAATTCGTGGTTCAGAAGAAGAAGTTGTTTGAATAAATTGTTGACGTACGGACGGACGGACGAAGGATGCCACGGTATGGCATTATATCACGTCAAAGCCTGTAACAACATGGATGTATTCAAAACGTGTTTGCCTGTAACAACATGAATATATACAACATGTCAGAGTCGATACCGACAAGAAGTTATTCTACACATCAATGTGTATAACTACATGGATGTATTCAATATGTCAAAGTCTGTAAGAATATGCGTGTCTGCACAAACTTGTCACCTAATACATTTGACCACCATGTGACATAAGAAGGTCAATAATGTCTCTTCGCCCTCGAGACGTCGCTATATTGGCTGCTGTTTGACTTTTGCTGTTTCTGGCGTTGATGTCCACCATATCCAGTGAGAGGAGAAACTTCACAACCTCCACATTTCCTCCCCGACAGGCGAAGTGGAGGAGGGTGTCATGTCCTTTATCCAAGAGTGACACATCAGCCCCTTTACTTACAAGTAACTCTACCACTTCTTTATGTCCCTTATCTGCTGCCAGCATCACTGGTGTCATCTCCTGCCATCCTCTACTGTTGATGGACAGCATGCCCAGTGAGAGGACAAACTTCACCACCTCCACATTTCCTCCCTTACAGGCCAAGTGGAGGAGGGTGTCATGTCCTTTATCCAAGAGTGACACATCAGCCCCTTTACTTACAAGTAACTCTACCACTTCTTTATATCCCTTATCTGCTGCCAGCATCACTGGTGTCATCTCCTGCCATCCTCTACTGTTGATGGACTGCATGCCCAGTGAGAGGACAAACTTCACCACCTCCACATTTCCTCCCTTACAGGCCAAGTGGAGGAGGGTGTCATGTCCTTTATCCAAGAGTGACACATCAGCCCCTTTACTTACAAGTAACTCTACCACTTCTTTATGTCCCTTATTTGCTGCCAGCATCACTGGTGTCATCTTCTTCCATCCTCTACTGTTGATGGACAGCATGCCCAGTGAGAGGACAAACTTCACCACCCCCACATTTCCTCCCTTACAGGCCAAGTGGAGGAGGGTGTCATGTCCTTTATCCAAGAGTGACACATCAGCCCCTTTACTTACAAGTAACTCTACCACTTCTTTATGTCCCTTATTTGCTGCCAGCATCACTGGTGTCATCTTCTTCCATCCTCTACTGTTGATGGACAGCATGCCCAGTGAGAGGACAAACTTCACCACCTCCACATTTCCTCCCTTACAGGCCAAGTGGAGGAGGGTGTCATGTCCTTTATCCAAGAGTGACACATCAGCCCCTTTACTTACAAGTAACTCTACCACTTCTTTATGTCCCTTATCTGCTGCCAGCATCACTGGTGTCATCTTCTTCCATCCTCTACTGTTGATGGACTGCATGCCCAGTGAGAGGACAAACTTCACCACCTCCACATTTCCTCCCTTACAGGCCAAGTGGAGGAGGGTGTCATGTCCTTTATCCAAGAGTGACACATCAGCCCCTTTACTTACAAGTAACTCTACCACTTCTTTATGTCCCTTATTTGCTGCCAGCATCACTGGTGTCATCTTCTTCCATCCTCTACTGTTGATGGACAGCATGCCCAGTGAGAGGACAAACTTCACCACCTCCACATTTCCTCCCCGACAGGCAAAGTGGAGGAGGGTGTCATGTCCTTTATCCAAGAGTGACACATCAGCCCCTTTACTTACAAGTAACTCTACCACTTCTTTATGTCCCTTATCTGCTGCCAGCATCACTGGTGTCATCTTCTTCCATCCTCTACTGTTGATGGACTGCATGCCCAGTGAGAGGACAAACTTCACCACCTCCACATTTCCTCCCTTACAGGCCAAGTGGAGGAGGGTGTCATGTCCTTTATCCAAGAGTGACACATCAGCCCCTTTACTTACAAGTAACTCTACCACTTCTTTATGTCCCTTATTTGCTGCCAGCATCACTGGTGTCATCTTCTTCCATCCTCTACTGTTGATGGACAGCATGCCCAGTGAGAGGACAAACTTTACCACCTCCACATTTCCTCCCCGACAGGCAAAGTGGAGGAGGGTGCCATGTCCTTTATCCAAGAGTGACACATCAGCCCCTTTACTTACAAGTAACTCTACCACTTCTTTATGTCCCTTATCTGCTGCCAGCATCACTGGTGTCATCTCCTGCCATCCTCTACTGTTGATGGACAGCATGCCCAGTGAGAGGACAAACTTCACCACCTCCACATTTCCTCCCTTACAGGCCAAGTGGAGGAGGGTGCCATGTCCTTTATCCAAGAGTGACACATCAGCCCCTTTACTTACAAGTAACTCTACCACTTCTTTATGTCCCTTATCTGCTGCCAGCATCACTGGTGTCATCTCCTGCCATCCTCTACTGTTGATGGACTGCATGCCCAGTGAGAGGACAAACTTCACCACCTCAACATTTCCTCCCTTACAGGCCAAGTGGAGGAGGGTGTCATGTCCTTTATCCAAGAGTGACACATCAGCCCCTTTACTTACAAGTAACTCTACCACTTCTTTATGTCCCTTATCTGCTGCCAGCATCACTGGTGTCATCTCCTGCCATCCTCTACTGTTGATGGACTGCATGCCCAGTGAGAGGACAAACTTCACCACCTCCACATTTCCTCCCTTACAGGCCAAGTGGAGGAGGGTGTCATGTCCTTTATCCAAGAGTGACACATCAGCCCCTTTACTTACAAGTAACTCTACCACTTCTTTATGTCCCTTATCTGCTGCCAGCATCACTGGTGTCATCTCCTGCCATCCTCTACTGTTGATGGAGAGCATGCCCAGTGAGAGGACAAACTTCACCACCTCCACATTTCCTCCCTTACAGGCCAAGTGGAGGAGGGTGTCATGTCCTTTATCCAAGAGTGACACATCAGCCCCTTTACTTACAAGTAACTCTACCACTTCTTTATGTCCCTTATCTGCTGCCGTCATCACTGGTGTCATCTTCTTCCATCCTCTACTGTTGATGGACAGCATGCCCAGTGAGAGGACAAACTTTACCACCTCCACATTTCCTCCCCTACAGGCAAAGTGGAGGAGGGTGCCATGTCCTTTATCCAAGAATGACACATCAGCCCCTTTACTTACAAGTAACTCTACCACGTCGTTATGTCCCTTATCTACCGCCAGCATCACCGGTGTTATCTCCTGCCATCCTCTACTGTTGATGGACAGCATGCCCAGTGAGAGGACAAACTTCACCACCTCCACATTTCCTCCCCAACTGGCGAAATGAAGGAGGTTGTCACCCTTTTTATCCACGAGTGTCACATCAGCTCCTACATTCACAAGTAACTCTACCACTACTCTATGTCCGTTCTCTGCTGCCAGCATCACCGGTGTTCTCCCGCACCATACTCTACTATTTATATTCACAATGTCCTGTGAGAGGACATACTTCACAACCTCCACATGTCCTCCCAGACAGGCAGAGTGAAGGATGTTGTTGTCGAATCTATCGACGAGTGACACGTTAGCTCCTTTTCTCACGAGTAACTCAACCAATTCTATATTTCCCTTACCAGCAGCAAACATCACCGGTGTCCTTCCAATCCATTCTTTACAGTTAATGTCCGCCCTTCCTTGGGACAAGATGAGTTTCACTCTTGACAGGTCTCGGGTCCTAGTGGCACTATGGAGGTCGCAGAACGAAGGTGCTGTAACACAATATTTTACTCTACACATCTTGAAAGGTACAAGACTGAAGTTGCGAGACATATAATCGCGACAAAGCGAAGGTCTTTGACATCGTACTATAAATACGAAAACGACGTTATTTTCTGTATACGGACATTGGATTAAATAACTATGACAAGACCCGTTAAGATCCGGGGTAGAATAGGTCTTCAGCAATCCATGTTTTCCGTAAAAGGTGACTATGCTTGTCGTAAGAGGCGACTAACGGGATCGGGTGGCCATGCTCGCTGACTTGAATGATGCATGTCATCGTATCCCAATTGCATGGATCGATGCTCATGTCAATCACTGGATTGTCTGGTCCAGACTCGATTATTTACAGACCGCCGTCATTTTGCTGGAATATTGCTGAGTGAGGCGTTAAACAACAAACAAACAAAATATGACAAATTGAGAAATATATTAATTAACTGGTGTTCGTTTTAAAATGCATTGAAAAGTAAAATTGAACGTACAAACACATGGCAGCTTGTCTTAAATACACGTTATATTGTCAACGGATATGCTGCAAATTTATGTACACCCCAGGTGGGTCAGTGTTTTGATAATGGCACACGAATTCATGTTTTACGTTTACTGTTATACGTAAAAGAGGAAATCTGACATGACAGTTTAAGTTAAAAAAAAACAGATCAGGGTCCGGGTAACACTTCAATTCAAACTTAAGTTTTTAAAGATGGAAGCTTGAAAGCTCAACACCGCTTTCAACTTTTTATATTCCCTACACCGTTTTAGAAAGATGAAAAGCTCAAAAGCTCTACTTTGAGTAAACATGTTTTAGGAGGTATTTCGTAGTTTGGAAATCTAAGATGACGGAGACGTTTGTTTTGCTTGTTTACTCTCGTTTTTTTACAATGAGAAAGACCATGGCTTACAACATACACATGCGGTTGACAACAATGAAAGGTGCGTACCCACACACCCCAACACACACACAATCTGCATCTGCCTTTGCTGATATATTAATTGTATTGAATGTATGCTAATGCTCATATTTTAAAAACTACAAGTCCGAGTTTTATCTACATGTAACTGTAGCATTCAATCGAGAAATAAAATTAAATAGCTCGGGTCATATTTGGTATTTGTAAGGTGGAATATAGCCCAGTTGTCTACATCTCAGCCATCAGCATATACTGACTCTAGTCATTTATGAACGCCAGGCGACTTTCATGAAATTCCAGTTATTTTAAACCAACTAGACCTTGATGACATGTGTTGAGTTATCTATAAAAAATTATACATTATAAAATCAGTGCAGGCAATATTGTCATACAGCTCATTTGTTATATATTTATATCACTGAAGTTAAATCACTGAAGTACAACCTTATCATCTAGCACAGTTGGCGCACTGACGTCACACAATGAAAGACTATTATATGATTTTGTGTCACAGCTTTGCCTGTTCGTCCTTTGTGAGATACCAACGTTAACGCACCAGTAACAATAATACCATAGCGATCCATCAAGAACTAACAATTGCCGTGAGACTCGGACTTTGTCATCACCTCCCAAGGACCGTCAGAGGATTCTAAGAAGGTGTCGGAAATGCAATCTCCAGGTACACAACCTTTCATCTCTTCAGCGTGATTGCAACACATGCATCGCCTATGTACTGCGCATGTACAGAGTATTCACCGGACCTCAAGTCGCCGCTCAGGCATGCGTTATATGCAACGCATAGCCGACAGCTGTAACCTCACTTTTCTGAAATCTCCATAACTGCAGACGTATTTCTTCAGGAAACGCCACGAAGTCACTGAACCATGGCCTCCAACAAGAGTTGACTATGTCCACTACTCACTGATCGCCAAGCTGATGATGGTTTCACTTAGCTGCTCTCACGAGACAGAGACTGTTAGGACAACCTCGATCCAAGGATAAGGACCTTCTCCTCGCTGACTTACGATACATACGTGACAGTGTGACAGGTTATTAGATACCAGTGCTGGGTATGGTGCTGACAAACCTAGAAACATTATCGGGGCAAACCAGGATTCGAACCAACAATCATAGGTTTCTGGCTCGCCCAAGGGACGCTGCACAGCGAATCGCGGCGCCTTAGACGACTCCGCCACCCGTGCCCCCACCATTTGACGGAACATCGATGTCAATATTTGTTTTCTATTTACTTTTGAAATGTTTACACATCTCAATATTGTCTTGATAATGTATGTCTCGGATTGGCATATTCTTGAAATTGTATAATACGATGTTTCAGCGTGTATGTGATTTATAAAGAGTCTTGTATATATCTTACAATCACGATATTCTGTCTTATCGTACATGTAAATGCTCGGTGTATATGGTAGCGTCATACCTTTATTTATTATATAGACCCTTAAAGTCAGTTATTTTCAATGTAGAGCAAAGACTAACACCAGGCCGGGTAATGTCATACAGCTATTAGTTATGTGTGAAAGACTAGTATATAATTCAGTGTAACAGCTTGTCTTGTCCATCCTTTGTGACGGTGTCCGTCATTTGTAATTGATGATTGCTGATTGACGCCCCAAGTGACACACCACCTGTCATGCATGTTAAGTCACACTTTCATTATAGGTAGATAAGCATAAATTTCTAAAATTGGGACAGGTTTGGAAGATATTGCTTATTTAAAAGTTCATATCGCTGTAGGTGAAAAGCTTCACATCGGAATAAATAGTGAAATTCATCTCCAAACAGCGATAGAATCACAGATTGGACACTGGCGGTCTTCCCTTGGAATGTTCAACCATCGAGCAGTTCCAACAGGTAATCTATAGTAAGAAGTTCTGAATTTTAATATAGGGAGAAATATTGATTTTGAGAACAATAGATATTTCTCAAATGAGAGTGATACTTCAGGAACTTCTAATACGACCCTTTGGAGGTCGATTAGGCAACGGAATTCCAGTTCTGACGGAATTCCAGTTCTGACGGAATTGAGGCCGGCCATGGTGTGGAACATACCGATGGGTTTTGAAATACCTATGATCGACCGCAATTATCTAATACATTCTTCATCAATTCTAACCTGAGGACATTTTCAACTTCTATATGGATAGTATACATGTGTTCGTAGAGTATTTGGGATGGTTTATGATACACTTCTGAGGTAGCAAGCTTATGCCAAAAGGAGATAACTCGTTTATAGACTTCAATAAACCAAATTTGCCATATAACATAAAGTTGGGAGTCGCGTTTTTTTCAGTCCAGTGGCTAATTGAAGAAATTTAAGATGAACCCTTTCTATAATAGCTACATTCTCCTATCACCAGATCTCGACACCATATATTAGTATAGGGACGACGATTGCATCAAATACAGATAACAGGCAATCTAATGGCAAAGTAACATTTCGGGACTTCATGGCTGAAGGCTGAAAATGGCTTTAGTTGCGTTTTCTGACAGAGATTTGACAGCTTTTACACATCGCACATTCCTGTGTATGTTTAGGCCAAGGTAGTTACATGCATCTACAGTTTCGATGGGGTCGGGGCCAATAGTGAAACATGATTTCGATTTGTTTGCAGGTCCGGTACCAAAGATCACAACTTTTCTTTTGTTAGATAAACATTTAACTTCCATAGAGCACAGAGGTCAGATTTAACGATTTGTGTATGTCTTTGGGGTTATCACTTATTATAACAGTGCCATCAGCATAGAGAAGTATTAGGAGCTGAAAAAAAACTACAGTTACGTTAGTATCGATCAGATTTCCAAGGTCAACACTTTTACGTTCATTGTTCAAGATGTTTAGGAATATGGAAATAGGAGATAATGAAAGGTTTTCACCCTGTCATACACCATCATGACAAATGAAATCGTCGGAGAACTGGTTATTAATGCTAATTTTAAATTTTATGTTGTGGTACATATTCTTGGCCAGGGTGAAACACCTCCCTTCTATTCAAGAATATTGAATTTTATGCCATAGATCGACTTTTCATACTTTATCGAATGCTTTAGTGAAATCTATAAAAACCGAATATAAATTCATCTTTGATATTTTCATTATTTGCATCATCACTTGCATTGCTAAGATGTTTTCACAAGTAGGAAATCCTTTTCTAAAAACTGCTTGCGCAGGATTTAAAATGGTATTATCATCAACAAATGTAGTTAATCTGTTATTTAATATTTGGGTGAAAAATTTGCTGAAGCAGCTCAGTATAGTTATAGGTCTTTATAAATTAGGTTCTAAGCGGTTGCCCTTTCATTTAACACTCGTGAAGAGCAACCTCCCCATGGTGAGTGCTGGGTAACGCTAATAGCTCTTCCCCCGTGTGGACCCGGGGTAGAATATGTCCACAGCGCCCCATTGCTGGTCGTAAAAGGCGGCCGATTTGGGCAACCTGTTTGCCGTGGGTTGCGCCCCTGTGTCAGTGGAGGAAGGGATTCTGGTGATTGAGAGCACTGGACCAGGAACTGGTGTTCCTTTTGCCCAACAAACCACTTTGACCCTGACTTCACCTAGACGGGTGGTAAAATGGGCCCGGTTCTATCAATCGGCTGGTCACGCAATGCCCTGTGCATGGAAAAGTGCCACATTAGATATATATCATATTCAACAATTTTTATGATGTTATGTGATACTCCAATTTATGCAAATCTAAATATTGCCTAGAGTCCTATGCAAGAAGGCGGTGGCTCATGGGCCAATCTGGTGATTTTGACCTCCGAATAATGTATGTTTCCAATGTCTTGTCATGGGCCGAACCAGTCTGGCATTGAGTTGGTAAACAAATACAGCTGTTCGTGTCATCTTCCCTGGAGTATAATATCCCTGGTGTTTGCATCCTAGATATCCGGTGCAATATAACACTGTCCTTGTTGACACTCGATGGTGGGTGGGGATCAGGGGTGCTGAATCATTTTCTTTTCAACATGGCTCTACCACAATCTGGTTCATTTCGTAATGAAAAAAAGAGACGTCTTGAGGAAATTTATATTTCAACTAGAAACTCTTTCTCAAAATATTGATTCCTGGGCTAGATTCCTGGT